GGTGCCCAGCGCGTGCGCCGTCCCCGCAGGAGGTGCCCACGCTGCGGCAGCTGTGGGCGCGCGGCCAGCAGGTCCTGCTCTCCTACGAGGATGAGGGGGCGGTGGCGCGGCACCCTGAGCTCTGGCCCGCCATCCCCTACTGGTGGGGCGACCAGGTGAAGGCCGGGGCGCTGATCCGCTACCTGGACACCATGAAGAGCTGCGGCCGCCCAGGTACGCGCCTGCCGCCGGGGACGCCAGGGGGGCGGGACAGCGCCCTGTGTGCACACCGGGACGTCTCGGGGACACCGCTCCGTGTCCACGAGTGTCCGTGCCATGCGCACACGCGGTCAGCCGTGGGCTCCGGCGGGCAGCGCTGCGGGGCTGTGTGCCGCGGTGACCTCTGCCGTCCCGCAGGCGGCCTGTTCGTGGCGGGGACCAACCTGACCGAGTCTCTGGGCTACGTGCTGTCGCACCCGGCGCAGTCCCTGGCCACGCTGACACTGCGGGCGCGGCCGGCCCTGGGCGCGTGGGTCCGCGAGCAGCGGCCCGGCCCGGCCCCAGCCTGCACCAACATCATCGCGGGCGACTTCATCGGCGCGGACTCCTTCGTCACCGACGTCATCGGCCTCAACCAGAAGCTGCTGCGGGGCTGAGCGCTCCGCCGGGGACCCCGCCCCAGAGGGACACACGAGGTTCGCACGTGCTGCCGCAGCTCCCAGGGCGCGGGACCGGCCGTGCCCTGCAGGGACCGGGCTGCGGGATCCCCGCCCAGAACACACCCCAACCCCACAAGCCCTTAGGCTGCAGCTTTGAGTCGGGGTCGCACTGTGAAACCCAGGCTGGCCCTGAGCTCGCTCGGGGAAATCCTCCTGCCTCAGCCTCCCCGGCGCTAGGGGTACAACTGCAGGCCACCACGCCGGCTTCTGAAATGTTACTTTCACTGAGCACTTTTTTAAAAAAAATTTTAGATCACACAATTACAATAAATGAAAAGGAACTGAAAACTAAGCTCTGCCCCCGTTTCTTCCTGCTGTGAGGTCACAGGAGCGAGCAGACTTCGGGGGTCACGGCCCCGCTTGTGAGGGAGGAGAAGCACAGGCCCCGTTTCAAAGCAGCTCCCACATGTCCTGTTCTGGGGACACCTCTGTCCGCCTGGCAGGGAGACAGGACCGGGGGTCACACCTGAGCCACCTGGAACTCACAGAGATCTTCCTGCTCCAGCCTCCCAGTGCTGGGTGTCCCCGGGCCCAGGGAGAACACAGCTCTGCCAGCCTGCTTCGCTCTGAGGCTGAGTCAGGACAGCTCCTGGGTGCGGCCGGTGCCTTCATTGTGGGAAGAGCTTCCGGAACCTGCCGTAGGCGGCGTTGCTAATGACGACGGTGACGAGCGCGGCCCCGGCCTCGGGCTGCACGGCCACGTCCTGAACGGTGGCCTCCTGGTGCAGCCAACTGCGGACGCAGGGACCCTGTGAGCCTCACGGGAAACAGACTCGGATCGGCCCGGCGCACCCCAAGTGTTCTGACTGCGGTTTTTGAGACAGGGCCTTCTAGGGAGCCCGGGCTGGCCTCTCCCTCCCAGAGATCCTCCCGCCTCAGCCTCCCCAGCGCCGGGCTGACGGGCATGCGAGGTCAGAAGCCCAGGTCCCAGCCGCTCCAGCCCCACCCGCCCCGGGCGTCGCCCACCTGAGCTGCGGCCCGGCCAGCG